GTAGTCCATAATAGTATTCCTCTTGACTGGCAATGTCAGAAATTGTTGACCTGAGTCCCCTACAGCTCAACATAACACCATGGCTTTACTTCTTATACCTCGTTTTTATATTTTTCTGTTGGATGGTTAAGACCAAGATAAAGCAAGACCTATGCAACAAGAGTTGTAGCTTTTGGATCTGATAAGGTCAGTCAAATCCCCTAAATGTATTTCTTATAGGCAGTATATTGTTGGGTCTTTCTTCTTGATCCATTCTGTTAGTGTGTGTTTTTAATTGGGGAATAGAGACCACTAACATTGATGGCTATAACTGATATGTACTGACTTAGCCTTGTCATTATATTTTCCTGTTGTTGGCTCCCTTACCACCCCCCTTTGTTTGCCTTGCTTGGTGGGTTCATTTTGTTGGAGTTCATAGGCATGCAATTCTTGTAATCTCTTTTTTGAATGTCCCTCAGAACATTTTAGAGTGCTGGTTTGGTGTTTACAGATTTCTTCAGGTGTTCTTTGTCATGGAAGTATCTTATTTCTCCATCCATTTTGAAAGATAGTTTTGTAAAGTACATCAATCTGGTTTGGAGTTTGTTTTCTTTTAGGGCTGAAAACACTTCTCTCCAGGCTTTCCTTGACTTGAGGGTTTGTGTTGAGTAGTCTGCTATGATTCTGAGTACATGATTTGTTTAGTTTCTCTAAAAGTTTTTAATCTTCTATTCCTGTGGTGAATTTGGGGAATCTTGAGCTAAATATTATATGCCTTGATGTCTTAGTTACTCTTCTCTCATTGCTGGGACAAATACCCGACACCCAAAATGAAGGAAGGAAAGGTTTATTTAGCTCACAGTTATTGGAGGTTTCAGTCCATATTCAGCTGGGTCTGAGGCAGAGCGGCACACAGCAGAAAGCAACCTTTCATGGTGGTGACAATGAGCAAGACCAAAAGGAAGGGTAGCAGCAGCTCAGGCAGCTAGCTTCTCTTCCCACCTTACATTGTAATGCAAATTACCTGCCCCAAGGCAGGTGCAGCATCCATACCCACAATAGTCAATCACAAACTCCAGAAGCCACCCACAACTGCATGAGGCTTTGGGGGGACAGCTAGACACAAACCATAACACTTGGTATAGTGGGGTTTTTGTTGATGTTGTTTGTTTAGCTGTGGCAGGTTTTATTAATGAAAAATTCTGCTTGGTTTATTTTTCACTGGTCTGTTCTGATATGCTTCTAATGATATCAGAATCACCTGGATCAATGATTGCTAATGTGCATACTCTGTAGTATTTTCCACATGCTGTGCCCAGTTCGATATTATTGCTGCTGTAGTGGTGGACACCAGTTTTGGCCAGCATGGCCTAGTACTCTATTTCAGATTTCCTCAAGGCTGGGCAGTTGTTGGCAAGGATGACCAATTTCGCTTTGCCCTGTCTGATCATCTTCAGCGTCTGCTTGTACCCCAGCACGTATTTTCCACTTTTCATAACAAGTTGGAGCCTACAGTTGATGGACTCCTGATATTTTTTCGTCTTCTTTGTGGCCACCATCTTCCTGCCTTAGGTGTGGACAGCCCTCAACCAGGAGCAGCTACCAAGATGGCCAGGGAGAAAGAAAGGGGCATAGTGTTTTTTAAATCCTGGCTAATTGGAGTTCTATGTCTCACTTGTCTGCATGTCAAATTCTTTTTCCTTGCTAGGAAAGTTTTCTGCCATGACTTCTGTGAACAGGTTTCTCATTTGCTCTATCTCCTGCTTTTTCATTGATTAAAGTCAATCTTGGCCGCTTTGCAGACGCCTCTAGCCTTCCTCTTAGTTGTTTGTTGCCAACCATGGTCAACCCCATCGTGTTCTTCGATATCACTGCCGACGGCGAGCCCTTGGGCCGCGTCTCATTCGAGCTGTTTGCAGACAAAGTTCCAAAGACGGCAGAAAACTTTCGTGCTCTGAGCACTGGAGAGAAAGGATTTGGTTATAAGGGTTCCTGCTTTCACAGAATTATTCCAGGATTTATGTGCCAGGGTGGTGACTTCACGCGCCACAATGGCACTGGCGGCAAGTCCATCTACGGGGAGAAATTTGATGATGAGAACTTCATCCTGAAGCACACAGGCCCGGGCATCTTGTCCATGGCAAATGCTGGGCCAAACACAAACGGGTCCCAGTTTTTCATCTGCACTGCCAAGACTGAGTGGCTGGATGGCAAGCACGTGGTCTTCGGGAAAGTGAAAGAGGGCATGAACACGGTGGAGGCCATGGAGCGCTTCGGGTCCAGGAACGGCAAGACCAGCAAGATGATCACCATCACCGACTGTGGACAACCCTAACGCGTGTGACTTGTGTGTGTTGCCACCGCCAGACCAGACCATTCCTCTAGCTCAGGAGAGCACCCTTTGCCCTCCCTGCTCAAGACGCCCCATCATCCCTGCTCTTCTCGCAGTTCTTTGGGTTCCATGTTTTCCTTGCTCCCCTCCAAATGTACCTGGATTGCAGAGTTAAGTTTATGGTTATGAATAAAGCTAAATAATGGTTAAAAAAAATAAATAAAGTCAATCTTATGTTATTCTTCTTTGCATCACCTAGCAGCTCTTGGATTGATATTCTGTGGCCCTTGCTATTTTTAAGAGAATCTTTCTTTTCATTGTTGCTACCCACAATCATGTCTGATATTCTGTCTTCACATGGGTCCATCTGCTACATATACTTTTAATTCAATTTTTAATCTCCTGGATATCTGTTTGAATTTGTTTCATGGATTCATTTCTTTCTTATGTTGGGTATTCATGGTTTCTGTCATTTTCCAAAGTTGGTCTATTTTTCTTAAGTCTGTCTCTGCTAAGTACGTCTTTCATTATGGTTACCATCTTTGTACTTAACTGAGAAGTTATTTATTTTTTTAAAATGTATTTTAGTACAGGGTCCATAGGATTTGTAGTAATCCTGTTTTCAGCCTCCCAAGAGCTAGGATTACAGGTGCGCACCACCACACCCAGTTTCTGAGAAATTATTTCTGATTTATTTTTTTCTAGAGCCTTGTTCATCTGCTTTGTCACTTCTACTGTTAACACTTCAGAGAATCCAGGTAGTTGGCTTTCAGATTGTCCCACCTCATTGTTTGCCTTTGGTGAGCTGGAAGTCTGTGGTTGCACTTTGTTTAAGTTTGTTCTCTCTCTCTCTCTCTCTCTCTCTCTCTCTCTCTCTCTCTCTCTCTCTCTCCATTCCTGGGTTAATGCTGTAAATTCCCTATGGTGAATAGCTTTATTGCTAGTATTTAGAACTCTTAAGATGACTATTTCTCAGGGGTTTCTTCCAGGTAAAGCTGGATTTTGGAGTTTAAATCTGTTACAAGATCCTCCCACTTTAATTCATTGGGAATGGGAACTTGCTGCCTATTTGGCCTAACCCCTGTTGTTGTTTTGTATTTCTTTAGGGAAGGGTCTATAGGGCGTTCAGGGTCTCACTACTAGATCGAACTCATAGAGATCTCCCTGTTTACAGCCTCCCAAGAGCTGGGATTACAGGTGTGCACCACCACAGCCAGTCTCAATTGCCATCTCAGCATGCTCTGGGGGTGGGCCGGCACAGCAGGCCCAGGGATTGAACCCCAGCCCCTGCACCTGCTTGCAGAGCTATTACTCTGCTGAGCTATTTGGCTGGCCCACTAGCCTCTGCTTCTTTGACACTGCCAGACAATATTATTTATGGCCCTTAAGTAATCTGTCTTGGCATAGCAGGAGAAACAACTGATTAAGACAATTATGTCACCTTTGATAAAGTAGTTCAATCAGCAATAACAATAGCATCCAACACAGAATAGAAAATGACAAACTAGGGCCCGGGATTTAGCTCAGTGGTGCACACCTCCTGCCTGGTAATCATGAGATCAAGAGTCCAATTCCTGGTCAAAAAAGAAGAGAGAGAGAGAGAGAGAGAGAGAGAGAGAGAGAGAGAGAGAGAGAGAGAGAGAGAATGACTATGGTAACTATTAATTTTCACCTTTAACCACATCAACTAGATTTTTCGTTATGTAACAAAATCTAAAACAAGAAAATTGTATACAGTAAATGTAATCTTAGTATGGCAATTTTATCCTTTTACCCTGAGGGGGATATTTTTTTTTAAAGGGTTAGAGGGAAACCATGGAAAAATAGAAGAAGAGGAAGAGATTAGGAACAAGCCTGGGGCCGGCCAAATAACTCAGCGGTAAAACACCTGCAAGCAGATACAGGGGCCCAGGAGTTTGATCCCTGAGCCTGCCATGCCGGCCCCACCACCAGAGCATGCTGAGAAGGCACTTAAGACCAGGCATGGTGGCATGCACCTGTAATCCCAGCTCTTGGAAGGCTATAAACAGGCAGATCACTGTGAGTCCCTGAACACCCTGTAGCCCCTTCCCTAAAATACGAAAAAAAAAAAAAAAAGAAGCAAGCCTGGATGACAAAGAATGACTATGTGAACTTTGAAAAACTGGTAAAGAAGATAGGAAGGAAGGAAGAGATTAAAAACAAGAACAGAACAAGAAGGCTAGAAGTAATGTTCATACTCACAAAAACCAGAACAATAATCAAGAAAACAAAATAAAACAAAAAGAAGGGAAAAAAGTCCTTTTCAGGAAGTGTCTCAGCTGTCACTGGTAGATGCAGTGGGCAGACAGAGCCCAGATCCCAGCAAGCCAGCTGTAGATTTATACAGCAGTAGTGGGTAGTCCCGGCAAGCCTGCACCTTTAGTTCCACTAACGTCCAGGCTGATTTCTAGATGTGAAGCTGGAGCCTGATTGTTTAGCCTGCAACACTGTGCACCTCCTGCCACCTTCAACGTGGCTGTATGACCTCCTGCTGCACTGAACTCACTTCTCACACTCACCTTGACCCTGAGGGCCGCTAGGTTAAGCCAACTCACACCTACTCTGAGTTCTGAGCTCACTTGGCCTCTCCCCATGATGGCTGCCGGCCAATCACCCTCCTTGGAGGAGCTTCTGAACCTGAGTAACTCACCAGCGACCACGGTCCACTTGTCCACTTGTCTGGTCCACTGGTTTCTCCATGGAGGCCTCTGGCGTGGCCAGCAGGCACCATATGTGTTTAGGTTAGGCCCGCCCCTCCCATGCAGTCGTCAGGGCTTGGGCCTCCATCTTCTGCAGTAAAGTCTCTCTCTTCACTCTCCCTTTGGCTTGTATTTTCACTTCAGATCTTTGCTGGATCCTGGAGACCAGCTTCCGTTGGTTTTCCTTTCCTCACATTGCTCTATTCAAGAGCTTAGACAACAATCTCAGAGACCTTGTTTCTTTGCTAATCACCACTGTCATCCTCCCAGGAGTTTCCTTCCTTTATTTTTTAAAGACAAAGTCTTGCTATGTAGCTCAGGCTGGCTTTGAACTCACAACGTAGCCCAGGCTAGCCTCAAATTGGTAGTGCTCCTCATGCCTCAACCTTCTAGAAAATGTTGAGCCAACATGCTGGCTTTGTCACTGTAGCTTTGTGGTATGGCTTAAAGTAAGAAATTATTATTCTTCCTGCCTTTTTCTCATTTTCCAAGATTGCTTTTGCTATGATAGTTCTCTTATGGTTTCATATGAATTCTGAGATTGTTTTTTCTGTGTTTGAAAGGAATGCTATTAGTGCTTTGATTGCAATTGAATTAAATCTATATGTCAGTTTCGAAAGCATAATCATTTTGGCAATATTGGTTCTGGCCATCCTAGAACAGGGATATATCATTTTCTGATGTACACTTTAATCTTCTTTTACAAAGTTCTGCAGTTTTTTTGTTTTTGAGGCAGGATCTCACTATGCAGTTTGGGCCGGGCTTGTGCCTACTTTTGTAGCTCCTAGACTGGTCTTGAATTCACAGAGATCCTCCTGGCTCAATCTCCTGAGTGCTGGGATTGTAGGAGAGCACCACCATGCCTGGTTCTGAGGCCACATGGCGGGTTCCCTGGGGATCTGGAGCTGAGACCACACAGCGTCCGGGGCCAGGGATCGAACTCAAGACCTTGTGCTTGCCAGGTAGGTGCTTATGCCTCTAAGCTATCTCTCCAGCCCCAGTTCTGTAGGTTTTTATTGTAGAGGTCTTTCACTTCCTTAGTTAGGTTAATTCTTACATATTTAGTTTTTCTTTTTTTTTTTAAATGTACTTAGTACAGAGTCTCACTATACAGATCAGACTTATCTGTTTTCAGCCCCCCAAGTGCTGGGATTACAGGTGTACACCCCTGTGCCCAGTCTCAATTGCTGTCTCAGTGTGCCCCAGGGGTGGGGCCGGCACTGCATGGGGCACTTTAACCTGTTGAGCTATCTGGCCAGCCCTGATATTATATATATAATAATATATATAATTTTTATATATATAATATATATAATAATAATATATATAATTTTTTTATATAATTATATATATATAATTTTTTTTTTCTTTTCAGAATCAGGGATTGAACTCAGGCCCTTTCACTTGCCAGGGAAGCGCTTATTCCACTGAGCCATCTCCCTGGCCCCTTAATTTTTCTTGATGCTACTATGAAAGGTAGTGATTCCCTAATTTCTCTAGTGGTGAGTTTATTACTGGTGTTCAGAAATGCTACTGATTTTCCTTGTAGACTTTGTACCCTGCTATGCTAACTGAATTTGATTACTAATTCTAGGAGTCTCTTAGAGGAAATTTTCAGATTTTTATGTATGGGATCATGTCATGTGCAAATAATAATTTGACTTTTTTCCTACACATGCTCCTTTCATTTCTTTCCTTTGCTTGGTTGCTCTAGCCAATGTCTGCTGTGGGTGTGACACCAGACATCCTTGTCTTACTCCTCATATTAGAAGGAAAGCTTTCAGCATCTCCCTAATTAATAAGATATTGGGGGCTGGTGAGATGGCTCAGTGGTCTAAAGCACCTACTTAGAACAAGCTTAGCTAAAGCACAGGGACCGCGGTTCAATCCCCCAGCACCACATGCCAGCCAGCCTGCCCACTGGTGGGCTGAGCTGGCCACACACACACACACACACACACACACACAAATAAATAAATAAAAATTAAAAAAAAAAGATATTGGCTGGTGGTTTTTCAAAGAAGTTGGTAGGTTCTTTTATACCTATATTCTTCAATGTTTCTGTGATGAATGGATGCTGGATTTTGCCAAAGGGTTTTTTGCATCAACTGAAACGATCCTGAAAATTTTGTCCTGAAGGAGGGGTTAAGGCAAACTTGATCCATAATTCAAACTGGCCTTGAATTGTCTATGTAGCCCAGACTGTCCTCAAACTTGTGGCAATCCTCCTGCCTCAGATTCCTGAGTGCTGGGATTACAGGCATGTGCCACTAGGCGACAATATAAGATCTTTTTTTATAATTTGTTTTGTACTGTTTGCCAGTATCATGTTGAAATGTTTTACATTGTTGTTCATTAAAGAGAGTGATCTGTAG